TTCTAAATCATTTTTAACTGTGTTTTTTTTCACAAGTTATTGATCTTATTTACTCTCCATGTATCTTGATTTAAGAATGGGGCTGTGTTTAAGGTCATCATTTTGCAATGACTCTGTTCCATCCCATTTTAAGAAATGAACTGCATTAGTATTTATCAAAAGAATAAAAGTTGTGTAAAAGTAGACTTCCTTCCCTAAGCTATTGAGTTGAGCATTAATGCACATTTTAGTCTTGTCATTTCAAATCTGAAATGTATACTCAGAAGTAGACATAAAGGAGTGCATTTATATAGAAATATTTATTTAATCTGAAAAACAACATGAAAAAAAGTCTGTTTTTACAGCAGAGATGAACATGTTTACAGCTTGGTACAAAACAAACAAATAGGTGTGATTAGCTCATGTCTCGATGGACACACACTGTACGGGGGGTGAATGTTTTGATGACTCATCAGTTTTGATTTGATGAAGGATAAGAGTTATTCACAATAAGACATGTAGCTGACCAGCTTGACAGTGGGCGCGGTGTAACGGTTTGTCAGGAGGTTTAAAACCCGCCTCAGCTCTCAGCCTGTGGGTGACATCACTCAGGCCATCCGGGGAGACCTCCCTCACAGCGAGCTGTTGAAGAGAAGCAACTGAAGTCCACCCCAGAAGAACCAACAAATACAGATGTTGTTGAGGCTCAGGTTTCTTCCTCTGTCTCTGCAGCTCTCTGGGCACCTCGATGGACCAGTCACCAATAATCCACACTGTGTCTATAGGAGAAATACAAAGGTGTTCAATTAATGCCTCAGACAAGACAAAATGTACAGTTAACTACATGTGACAGCTCAGGCTGTTTTTTTGTTATTAGCCACATCTGCAGGAATAATATTGAACAAGGTAGCTGCAACTCATCATAATAGATGCCAGTCTTAAACACTATTTTTCTAATACTTAAAGTTTTTGGTGTGAAGCTGACACTGTCCACAGACTCCATGACTTCACAGGTTCAATAGAAAACAAATATCTTATAATAAATACTAAATATTTATTTTTCAATTGTCATGTTCACCTCATCGCTGTTGACATCAGTAAATATAAACACAGACATTCCTCTTTTTGTCAGAACAGTAACATGAACTGTATGCTTTGTAATATTGATTTCTTCTGGATGTCTCATATTTATTTACAGTTATGGATAAAACTTTGTTAATGTATTTCTCTGCTAACACTGACAAAGTCTAACTGCTCTGACAAATAACTAATAACCATGATTGTATATTTAAAAAAGTGTAGTTTTAAGACTTTAATTAAATATTTGGTTGAATATAATTAGTTTTAACTGTGTTGTAGAAAAGTTAAATGTTAACTTACTGTTTAGTTTTCTCAGGATGAGCAGGAATAGTTGATGATAGCAGCCTAGCTGTTAGCTATGCTGTCAAGTGGACTGCTGACGTCGAGCTGAATGGGCGGAGTTAAGTCCCGCCTTACTGCTGTCGCTAGGTTGATCCGAAGTTAGGTTGAGACTGCAAATCCAATATGGATGCGGCCGTCGATTGGACTCATTTTCTGTCTATGTAACAGACGGGTCAGGGTTCATCCAGTAATATTTACAGTCTATGGTCATAACGAGCCAAACTGTCCATCAATCCGATCACACACTGATGGTGATGCCTTCAGGAACCATTTGGGTTGCTTCAACTGGGGATCGAATCACCAACTTTTCTGACAACCAAACCACTGTACCTCTAAGCCACATCTTCCCCATAACATTGACAGTATTTTGTTGAAGGAAGTATTAGCTTTAGGTAGTATATTGATTTTATAATATTGGTTCTAAATGAAATACGATGTCTTGAGTTAGTTCTTCTTATAATTATCTCCCATGCTTAAAAAATGTGTCCTTGTCGTCTTGTATGTTTCATTCATCTTGCTTTAAAGCATTGTCTTCTTCCGTTTGATGAATAGTTTCATATTATAATTATCAGTGTGTTATTTCAACAAGACAATGTTGTACCTCTGTCAGTATCATTTCCCTCATTCAGCCACCAGAGGGCAGCAGAGTACGTCTTTTAAAAATGGCCTTATATCCTGCTCAGTTCATCCACCAGACTCAGTTAATAAATCCAGACTGTTAAGTGAAGCAGCTCATTCAGTCTCCACAAAGACTCTCCTGTAAGGACTCACTGAAGAGGATCACTTTACACCTCATAGAGACGAGGACATTCAGCTAGTAGTCGTTGAAATTACAGTAGTGAGTAGTTCTTGAAATTAATGATGATGTAATGGGTGTGAAGATTTGATGGTTATGTGTTTCTAAGAAGATGCTCGTGCATTTTCTTATCTATTTACAGAGTATATCAGTTTTCTACATATTGACTTGTTTTTCTTATTTCAGGTTGAATATTTTGACTCCATTTGACTGTTTGTTTCTTTTATGGATCCAGAAAGGAGCCAGTCAAGGTTTTGTTTTCACACACTTTGCATTGAATGGAGAAGCAGGATCCAGATACCTGTGATCACTTGAAAGGAAAAGAAACTGTGCCTTTGAGGTTTGGGACTTTTAATCTTTCAGAGTCACTTCAACTCTACAATTCACTTAGCAGACGCTATTATCCAAAGTGCAACACAAGCGAGGATCTAGAGAGGAGGAAACAAAGTCAGTAAGTGCAAATGAACAGCTTTCAGTCTGATCTGACACACAGATGCTGACAGGAAAGCACAACTTCAACAGCTGTTCTTTAGAGTTCTAATCAGCATCAAAACCATCCTAAATATCGTGATCATCATTACCAAACAACACCATCTTCATCTTCATCATCATCATGAAGGTCATTGGTGTTCATAAAGAGCTGGGTCTTTAGCTTTTTCTTAAAGGTGCAAAGGGACTCTGCGGATCCAATGAAGTTTGGAATTATTTTCCACCACCGGGGGCGACAGAGGAGAAGAGTGTAGTTAGAAACTTAAGAACCCGTCCGGTTCAGTTCGGTATGGTACACATGTATTGGTGTTTCTACTGTCATGAATACTTTTTTGGTACGCTTCTGTTGGGGTGCCAAGCGTACTGAACCGACTCTAAAGGTTGGAGCTAGAACACTGCAGTCTGTTGATTGGTCGAAAGAAGAATCTTCACTTGACAGCGGTAATAAAGGACAAACACAAAACGCACCACGTTTTGGAGAGAGTCATTAAAAGGCTTTTTGTTTTTATGCGACTATATGTCAGCGCGTAGCTCCCCCCATGGACGACCTGGGAGATGCAATCATTCATTTTTATTTACTGTGTCACATTCTTCTTCTTCTTTATTGAATGTCTTGGCTGTCTGTCGTGCCGCTGTTGTTTTATGATGTACGGTTGGCTGTTGAAACGCAACAAGATCAGGGTTTACCGTGTCAGACTGTACTGAACCAAACCAGACCGCTTGGTGGAAACGGGGCTTTAAGGCCCAGGTTCAGTTGGACATTTGTGAACACCTTATAGAGGCAAATAAAAACACATAAAGTGCAAGTGTATAGTGTTTGCTTCTCTCTTATTCAAGTACTGCTATGTGTTGCTTTTATCCGTCCCTAAACATTGGCTGTTATTGTGTAAGTTGAAAAGTTGTTTTAGGTAAAAGAGTCTGCAGGACAGTAAACTAAACTGAGCGCACATTCGTGAGTGTGTGTCCTCAGTGAAGTGTGTCAGTCTCTGCAGAAGCTTCCTGCTGCAGCAGTCAGTCTGGTTTCTGTTCAGGCTGACTGAGGGAGGTTTTTGTACGACGCTTTTTCACTGTGTGAACACACTGACTGTTGATGCTATGATACTCTGACAGTAGTAAACTGCTGCGTCTTCAGTCTGGACTCCACTGATGGTCAGAGTGAAGTCAGAGTTTGATCCACTGCCTGTAAAACGATTGAAGTCCCTGACTCGAGTGCTACCAAGTAAATCAGCAGTTTAGGAGTTCCTCCATCTTTCTGTTGGTACCAGGCTAAGTCGGTTTCGTCGTAGTATCTACATCCTCACTGGTGTACATGATAAGGTGACGGAGGCTCCCAGATCAGATCTCACTGCTGCAGGCTGAGTCACTGTGACCTGTCCTCTGGACTCTGAGGAGACAGAGACAAACACATGAAGCAGCATCAGGGTTGTGTGGGCTTCATTTCAGAGAGACGGATGTTCATAGAGGAGAGGAGTTTGATTGTCTGGACTTTACCTGTGAAGCAGCAGCAGAGGAGGAGAGTCCAGATGAGGACGCAGATCAAAGTCATGTTTTTGGATGAGGAGGAGGAGGATTTCTGTGTCTCCTGTTGTGATGAAGGACAGCTGTCAGTCCTGCAGTGTTCAACTCTCAGGACTTTAAACTCTCCCCGAGCACTGGAGCATGCTGCTGCTCATGCAAAGTGGCTCTTTATGGAAATGCTCTGACTAACTGGGGACTTGGATTATACTAATTATAAAGTTAATTATTTTAACTTTCAATAAGACATGTTTTTAAAACCGTCTTCATGCTTCTGGAGAAATCCCCGGAATAAAATGTCTTAATTTTGAATATTAATGGAAATGTATTCTTTATACTTTTCAGTTCATTTGAAGGTTTTGCAGACAAGAGCATTTTTTTTAACTTTCTTTAGTGAGAGGTTTTTGTACGGCGACTCAGTGAGTTTGCATCACTGTGGTACACATTTGGTGGAGGAACCAGACTGGATGTTGGAAGTAAGTCAAATATTAACCCTTTGTATGTCAAGAGATTATTTTATTTTGAAATGCAAGACTGAAAATGACTGACCCAAACATTTGTGTGCATGTTTTTCTCTGTATTTAGACTAAAAATTGAAATTTTTAATGAAACACAAAATAGTCAAATCTGAAGCCAGAGTCATCATTTGTTCCAGAGTAAATGAGTGTTATCATTGTAAAGGTGAAGTTGCATCTTGAGGGCTGGTAGTTTGAGTACGATGTGTTGAAGTCAGAGAGCCGTGTCTCTGTGCAGTGAGAGGTTTTTGTACGGCGACTCAGTGACTTTGTATCACTGTGGTGGACTTTTGGTGGAGGAACCAGACTGGATGTCGGAGGTAAGTTTCTGTGATTTCTAAACAGTGTAATGTAATCGTGATTTTTTTTTTTTCATTTACAATATAAAGAAACATTTATACATTTTTACATTATATTTTTTCCTGTTTGTGTTTGTCCTCCTGTACCATCTCAGGACAGATCGTTTACATTCAGTTCAGCAGCTTCAGATTCATAAAAAATAATTCTCTGGTTTCAGATATCTATTCCACATCAACGATAACTCTTAAAGGCCCTTATTTCATTTTGTCATTTTGAATAAATTGCTCAAAGGGAAGTTGTAAGAATTTTGAATGAAAATGTTCAAAATCTCTGATCTCTTTCTGCAGATTATGTCACTTAAGATTTTTTAGCCTTTTATGATTTAAAACATGTTTTATTGATAGATTTGGTTCATGTTTCCACTCAACAGTTAGAAAAATAGGTATTTCAAAGGTTTGAGTGATTTGATGATTTTTCAGCGTTTTTATTTTAAGTCCAGTGTATTCTGGTCTCTCGTACGATGATCGTCTCTGTGTTGATTTGCATGACAGATTTCTGAGAGGGAAGTGAAACAATGTGTGAGTGACTGCTGAAGCAGAAAAAAACATCTGACAGAAACTCCTTAAAGGAGAAACTCTGCTTTCAACTGCAAAGGTGTCCAGGAGTGATGTGTTTGACTGACAGCTGTGTGGTTCCTGTCCTCTGTTCTGATTGGTGTCTCCTAGGTGAAGCCCGTCCCACCTTGATGGTTCTGCCCCCTTCCAATGAGGAGCTGCAGCAGGGGAAGGCCACGCTCGTGTGCCTGGCCAACAAGGGCTTCCCCTCAGACTGGAGTCTGGCCTGGAAGGTGGACGGCATCAGCGGCGGCAGCTGGGAGGAGCAGGGGCCCTGCGGTGATGGAGCAGGACGCTCGTTACAGCTGGAGCAGCACCCTGAGGCTCTCTGCAGGCCAGTGGACGAAGGTGGGCTCTGTGACCTGTGAGGCCACCCAGGGCTCCCAGACGCTGGTCTCAGAGACACTGAGGAGGGACCAGTGTTCCCAGGACTGAGCTGTATCACCTGGACTCTGCTGCTGGTTTCCCCTGCTGTTGTTTCACTTCTGAAACTGCCCTCAGTTTGCACGCTAAATGCCTTCTTTCCCTCTCTATGATTTTATGTTTCAACGTTAATTTTTCGCCTTTTTATTGACAGTTTTTCTTAAATGAGCAAAAGAATAAAAATGGAATCAAACAGTGTTTGTTGTGCATATCTTTCATTTCTTAACAGGTTAACAATTTTTGAACGGACTTTGGTAAGTTCACCTAAAGAGTAAAAAAACAAAATAGCAATGGAAGACTTCCAAATAATCTTATATCATCAAAATCTGCTGTTGAAGATGGTGAAATGTCTCAATCTGATGACTGATGTGTTGAATTGTTAAATCTCTGAAAATAATGAAGGTGGGTAAGAAATGTGTTACAAATAAAACGGATGATCATCAGCATAAAGTGATAAAACATTGCTTCTGGCATTTTGTTCAATGCCTGCTCTGTGGTTGTCAAAATTAGATTTAAATATATAAATAAAATCATAAGAACACACATTGTGGAAAGTTTATTCAAAGGCTTTTTGGTAGGGTTAGGGTTAAGACTGTTCTGCATATTCTGTTGGGATGTCAAAAGAAAACGATTTAATACTTAACTCATAAAAAGAGATATTTATCAATTAAAACAATTCAAATGTTTTTTAATTATTGACAGTAGTAAACTCCTTCTTTTACCTGTGGTGCTTTGGGTGCTCTGCTTTTCTTGGATAATAATAGTAGGACTCTTATGGAAACAAGTTTGGAACCAGACTAACCTTTCCTCTGCAGGGCACCAGTTTAGCTCAGTTGATAGAGCAGGCGCTGTATTTTATATATTTGTGGCGACAGTAGCTCAGTCTGTAGGGACCTTGTTTGGGAACCTGAGGGTCGCTGGTTTAAGTCCTGTACACGTCAAAGTATGGAAGCTGCCAGGTCCCAGGTCACTCTCCGAGTGCTATAGAGGTGTCCTAGAGCAAGACACTGAACCCCCAACAGCTCTGTTGTGCTCCCTGTGTCGCAGTGTGTAGCAGCCCCACTGACATCTCTCCAGGTCCTGATTTGTGTTAGTGTGCACAGACATCATGTCCACAAGTTTTCAGATGTTACCATCGTGCACCTACTTACCAAGGCAATAATCTGACCAACAAAAACAGAGATTGAATCTTAGTCAGCTGGTGTGATGCATATTGAATGTTGGAAAGACAAAGAACATATTATTGATTTTAGAAGAAAGAAAGACGATGTTTCCCCTCATAGCAGATCCAAACTGTCAGTTTCATAAATATGTCATGTCTTCCAGTACATTAAATTGGAAAAAGGACACTGATGTGTTTAAAGAAGGCTCAGTCAAGACTCTTAAGGAAGGTTAGATCCTCTGACTTTAGCAAGAACCTTTGTACGTTTTGTATCTGGCTAGTGTCTCTCTTTATTGCTGTTCTGTGCTGGGGGGGGGGGGGCAGCTTCTGTTTGGATGATACAAATAGGATAAATAAGCTGATCAAAGAGGCTGGCTCTGTGATCGGCTTTACCCCACACTCTCTTGAAGTCACCTTTGAGAAGAGAACGAGGACAACACTAAAAATCTTTCATAAATATCTGACATATGCCAAGGGTTCATTTTGAAATGCTAAGTACTGTATAGTGGAATATATGATATTGAGATAACTGATTGTGTAGTTTTGTATTACGAAGAAGATGATGGAAACCAGTCAGTGTAGTGTTTGAGTGTGTGTCCTCAGTGAAGTGTGTCAGTCTCTGCAGAAGCTTCCTGCTGCAGCAGTCAGTCTGGTTTCTGTTCAGGCTGACTGAGGGAGGTTTTTGTACGACGCTTTTTCACTGTGTGAACACAACTCACTGTTGATGAATGTACACTCTGACAGTATAAACTGCTGCGTCTTCAGTCTGGACTCCACTGATGGTCAGAGTGAAGTCAGAGTTTGATCCACTGCCTGTAAAACGACTTGAAGTCCCGATACTCGAGTGCTACCAAGTAAATCAGCAGTTTAGGAGTTCCTCCATCTTTCTGTTGGTACCAGGCTAAAAGGGTTCATCGTCGGGCTAAGTCGCGTGTAGTATCTACATCCTCACTGGTTGTACATGAGAAGGTGACGGAGGCTCCCAGAGCAGATCTCACTGCTGCAGGCTGAGTCACTGTGACCTGTCCTCTGGACTCTGAGGAGACAGAGACAAACACATGAAGCAGCATCAGGTTGTGTGGGCTTCATTTCAGAGAGACGGATGTTCATAGAGGGAGAGGAGTTTGATTGTCTGGACTTTACCTGTGAAGCAGCAGCAGAGGAGGAGAGTCCAGATGAGGACGCAGATCAAAGTCAT